CTTACTCCTCGCAGTGGCAGGCAGCCATGGATGCCGAGATGGCATCCTGGAAGTCAACAGGCACCTACGTCGACGCAGTTCCCCCGTCTTGGGCGAACATAATCGATGGCATGTGGATTTTCAGGGTGAAGCGGCCGCCGGGTTCTCCGCCTGCCTTCAAGGCGCGTTACGTTGCTCGAGGCTTCAGTCAGCGATAGGGGGTTGAATACGTCTAGACCTTCTCCCCCACCCCAAAGATGACCACTCTTCGAGTGTTTCTACACGACGCTGCTCAGCGTGACTACGAGTTGCACTCTCTGGACTTCAGTACAGCTTTCCTGCAGGGCAGCCTGCACGAGAAGATCTGGCTATGCCACCCACCTGGCTTCACTGGGTCGTTTCCTGCAGGTACCTAGTGGAGCCTCCGGCGGCTAGTCTACGATCTCCGCCAGGCGCCTCGCGAGTGGCACGACACACTGGGGACGATGCTTGCGGCTCTTGGGTTTGCTCCTTCTACTGCTCACCTGTCGCTGTTTCTACGTACCGACACTTCGCTGCCGCCGTTCTACATCCTCGTGTACGTTGACGACTTGGTCTTTGCCACTACTGACACTAAGGCACTGACCCTTGTGAAGTCGGAGCTGCAGAAGAGACACACTTGCACTGACCTGGGTGAACTGCGCAGCTATCTTGGCTTGCAGATCACCCGGGACAGAGCACGGCGCACCATTACCCTGACTCAGTCACACATGGTGCACCAGGTCCTTCAGTGCTTCAGCTTCTAGTTCTCCTGGCCACAGCCCACTCCTCTGTCTACCAGCCACCAGACGAGTCCGTAGAGCCGAGTGGTCCGTACACAGAGCTTGTGGGTTGCCTCATGTACCTGATGACGTGCACACGACCTGACCTCGCGTACCCTCTCAGCCTTCTGGCTCGCTATGTGGCTCCCGGTGGGCACCGAAAGGTGCACTGGGATGCTGCGAAGAGGGTACTGCATTACTTGTGCAGTACGTCAGGCATGGGCCTCGTGCTTAGAGGACGGGGTCCAGTTGTCCTTACTGGTCACGCAGACGCTTCTTGGGTTGACGACTCAGCTACGCAGCGGTCGTCACAGGGTTACACCTTCTGCCTCGGTTCCGACTCTGTTTTCTAGCGGTCTACCCGCTCTTCTTCAGTTCTTAGCTCCAGTTGTGAGGCTGAGATCTACACAGGGGCCATGGCTGCACAAGAGCTACGCTGGCTCACCTACCTACTGACTAACTTGGGAGAGCAGCCTCGTTCGCCTCCAGTTCTGTACGTAGACAACAAGGCCATGATTGCCTTGTGTCAGGAGCACAGACTGGAGCACAGAACGAAGCACATCGCTCTGTGATACTTCCTTGCTCGAGAGTTGCAACAGCGTGGCCAGCTTCGTCTTGCGTACGTGGCCGCTCAGGCCAACACTGCTGATGTATTCACCAAGGCACTTCTGCCTGGTGATCATCAGTGCTTCTCTAGTGTGTTAGGCCTTGTGCCTACTTTACCTCACTTGCTCACTGCTTGAATTTGCTTGTACTGTGATCTATATATATACCTGCATGCTTACACTTGCTAGGGTATGATCACTGTACTGTTTGTTCTCTTTTATATAACTCTGCATGTGAACTGGCCTTGTGGCCCTTTGCTTGTGCTCAGAATGTGTGGTGACTTCGTGATCCACCCTGAGCTTGCTTTCCTTTTCTTGACTGGTCTTGTGACCACTTGCTCTCCCCCACTTTGCCTATGGGGGTGTGTCAAAATGTTGTATAGCTTACATTGTGTAGGCTGTAGTGGGGTAGCCCATAAGGGGTACAACCCAATTAGGGTTACTACTTGTACCCAACTCTTTGCTAGTTCATCCATCCTTGTTCATAGTTCTGACAGCGCGCTTGTGTGCAGACGGGTATTTTTCGCCACAGTGACGTAAGTAACCGTGGGGGTCGAGACGGCGCTAGAGACGAAATGCTCGGAACCGACCATCTGCTGCCCGCAGCAGCTATCGAGGTACCAGGTGTTGTACCGTTTGTTGTTATCTCGCACGAGCAGCTCCAATCGCGGCGTGACAATGTGTGGGGTATCAAACTTCAGGAACTGTTCTCGCGAGATCCAGTCGAGGGGAGCTTCCCGTGAGTCAGGTACGTGCGGGGGACTCTCAAGCAGCGGGATTGGTAGATTCCAATCCTGGTCATCATCGTCGCTGAAGTCATGTCGGGGAGTAAACGGGTTGTTAGCCTCAAATGCCTCGATTGGGTGGCGTGCTGGCTCGGGTGGCGGCGTACGCACGCGGCGACGGCGAGATCCGCTCGTTTGTGTCATTGTCATGTTGCCAATGATATTGCGGGCAGGAGCAGGGTGTGACGGCTGCTGATGCTGGTGCTGAACCGTTGGATTCAGGTTGCGTTGACCAGCTGCTCGGATTAGTCTGGTGGGGGCAAGAGCGGAATTTGCATCGCTCCGCCAAGTGCCCGAAGGTTCTGCAGATTTCGTAGTAGATGCGCTGCGGTCGTCGCTCTTCTGTGTTGTCAGCGTAGAAGGCGAGACGTTCCCGGTCTCGTCGCGGCGCTGGTCACTGCTGATCCATGTCTCTTTGTTCGACGAGAAGGGCAGCGTAGAGGGCTGCTTCCAACATAACACCATGTTGCCGGAGAAGCGCCTTGCAGGGTTGCCATTCTGGGAATATGTTTCCGTGTCGCCATTCCGCAATGTTTGGAGTCCTTTCTCCAAGGTACAAAGTCGCTGAAGCAGTTGTGCGAGGGCGGCGTACCGATCGTCGTCGTCTCCTCGTTTGTCGCAACCGGGTTGGACTGCGCTTCAGTGGTCAGATTTGCCTGACCTCGAGATCCTCCGGCCATCCTTACGCGTGAGCGTGTGCCGGACGCCACCTTAGTTCGCCGAGAGTTTCGGAGGTGGCAGTTGCGAAGGATTCCCGAGTCGCTCTCATACCATGTTGCGATCAAGAGTTGATCGCCCCTAGGATCACCTCGGGAAGGTTCGCAGAGAATGTGTGGTAGTGGTGGGCCCTTGACTGTCAGAATCCCAACCACTCGACCATTGGGATAAAAGGGCTTGTTCAGTAGCAGGTCAGTGCGCCCATAACCCCCCAGGACAACGAGCCTGTGACCCTTCCCTAGGATCAATTGGGGATCACCAGTGGACCTCTGACATTGACCTCAGATCAGAATGAAGGTAAAATTACTAAGATTGAATTAAAACATGCAAGTACAATCGTATAAATAAGAGTACAAGGGGAATAAGAAACGACATAACTAGCCATATACTCTAAGGAGTACATTCCCTTATTGCTGCGAAATCCAACAGTGCGACTCCAGACAGTTACGAACTGCTCGGGCAGAATCCTCGCCACTGCTACTGCCTGATGCTGTCTGCCCAGACGGTCCAGATGCTTCGTAACCCAACGCGACTCTTCGAGTCATTCCGCCTTTTCGTCTTCAGCCTCGGTACTGCGTGCTTTGCTTGCTGCTGTCAGGAGTGCACATCGTCTTTCTTAATTTACTATTCGTAAAACAATCCTCGCTATCTCGTTCCATTTCACCCATAACATGAACCAAACAAGTTCTCAAATTTCAACGTTTTCTTTATAGCAATATTGGATTTATCTCGCTTTGTTTGCGATGAAGGCAAGATCATATAAAGGGTTATGAAACACATAATATTAATATGAAAGAGATGATGATAATGACGAACACATTTTTAGATGCACTCTGTAGAGTGTATATTTAGCTTGTGGAATTCCTGTTTTTGTTTTTAAGGATAAAATGCACTATGAAGCACATTGCATCCACAGTCGTAACTGTGTGGAATGCTTGTGGCGAGTCATTCTGGCTTTTCCGTCTCCTCCCGAGCCGCGAGATTATTGGGCCAGTTCCAGCGTGTGTCACGGCAGGACAACCCAACATTATTGCTGCTTTCCTTTCCACCCATCCATCGCGCTTGGCCCCCACAATCAACAGAGTCATTCAAAATTATTGCTGCTCTTCGCACCTCTCGCTAGTGGATGTCGCGCCAGGCACGGGGATTTAGGGATGCACCTTAGCTCTTGGCAAACTCCAGACGTGGAAATTTAGAAATGCGATCAGCCGCAGCAAACGAGCTCAAATAATACACCTGCTACGCTTTCCAATCGACTGATTCGTCCAGAGCTTGTTCTGGGCGCTTCGGGAACAAATCCATCCAGAGATACACTCCAAACAGAAATATTCGCCATGGCGCTAGAGGGTTCTCGTCCCTACTACGCGCTGAAACAAGGTGTCGCCCTCAGATATCGCGAGGCGAAAGGCCCAAATAGATCCTCGACGCGTGCGCAGCGCGTTTCAGAGCGATTATTTGGCGACTCGTCTGCGTGGTTGCAAGAGGAGGCTCAAGAGTCGTGCGGTTCGGGAGATTGCGAAGCGGCGCGAAATTACGATGCGACGCCAAGCTGCGACAACGGCGGGTGGGACGGCGACGAGGGAGAGAGCATGGGCGACAGCATTGCTAGTGGTGGAAAGAGCGTCAGCGGCTGCCACGTGGCTGACCACGCGGTCTTCCATAGAATCGACTCTCAGCGCAGCGATACGCCCTCGTTTTTATGACTCCCGGCACTGGCCGAAGGGATTGCGCCCGGTCCGGGTTTCGGACCGCGGCAATCAGGAGAACCGCGTCCGCGCCGCGCCGCGACGTGGTCTACGAGTGCGCTCCGCTCGAGGGATGAAATCGACGGCGGAGACGAGGGGCATGGCTGGCAAATGCTAATCAACGGCGACAGTGAGGCCAAACTGTCGCCAGGCGCTGCAGGCTGCGACAAGCCGTTCGTCTTCGCTGCGGCGGACTGTGCGAAGGCTACGATGCCTGTCGCAGCAATCCCTCACCTCTCCGCGAGCGACGCAGGCGACACGACGCCACACACCGTGACTTACGGAAACTCCGGGTCGTGCCGCTCGCCTGAAAATGACACGTGGCACGACGAGCACCGGCTATGGTCTCCGTTCGGTGGCTCCTTAATCATGCCGGGCGCTTCGCCGAGACTGTCGCCGACAGTGTCGCCGAGACTGTCGCCACGACTGTCGCTGGCGGCGTTGGATTCCATCGTTTTGGGGGAAGAGCTGTGGCGGAGCATAGAGAGGCTCGACGGGCGCACCGACGACGACGAGGGATGCGACGACGACGGGCGCGGCGCGCAGGAGGGGTGCGACTCCGGCAATGACGGCGCGACGCCGTGGGACGACGTGGTGAAGGACCTCTTTCCCGAGCTGCACGCCGCCGCCCATGATGCCGCCCATGATGCCGCCCATGATGCCGCCCATGATGCCCGCCATCATGATGCCGCCCCGCCACCGCCTCTGCCGCCGGCCACATCGGATATCGTGCTGCAGGTTCCGGCTATTTCGTCTCCCCCTGCAGCCCCCTCCCCTCGCTCCGCCCCCCCCTCCCTCTTCGGCTCTCTCCCCGCAGCTAGCATCGAAGCGCCCCCCTCCGCCTGCGCGCGCGCGGATTCACCGCCACTGGATGCCGCGCAGCTGCCTTCCGCTGGCCGCGAGCCCATTGGCGCTGCGACGAGGCTCGTGCGCGGGGCGCCGCACACTGGGGGAACAGCTCCGCCGCTACTCTGCGCGCGGGCGCCTGACGGCCACGACCGCCGCTCTTGCACGCTGCTCGCGCTGCCTGCCGCGTCTGCGCGCATCCCGCCTCCGCCAGGCGCGCTGAAACGGCGGGCGGATGTGCTGGGGACTGGCCTCATTGAGACGCCACCAGCCTCGAGACGCAGCGGGGGCGCCGGCGCGACCGGCGCTGGTGGTGGTGCTGATTGGCGGGGTCCCGCGCACACAGGAGGCGGGAGGGTGAGGCCTGTCCCGCCCTCGCCCCTCCTTCTCCCACCCCTCGCTCTTCCGCCCTCCCCTCCCCCAGCCCTCACAGCCCCTTCCCCCACCTTTTCAACCCTCACGCTCCCTTCCCCCCTCGCACTCCCCACGCCATCCACGCCCTTCCCGCCTGACCGCGCACCCTCTACGGCCATTCCACACCCCCCTCACCCTTCACCCGCCCGCTGCCCTACCACCATCCAGTCCCGCCCCTGGCGCAATCACGGGGCGGCTGAGAGGCCAGTTGGCGGAGCTCTAGGGGGAACGGCCGTGGGGGGAGGAGCGACGGGGAGAGGAGCAGCCGTGGGGGCAGGAGCTGCAGTGACAGGGAGAGCAGCAGTGGGCATCAGGAAAATCGTGGGCGCACACACAGTGGCGCTGGGATTGCGAGGAGTGGGCAAGGCAGGCGCAGCAGCATCCATGGAAATAAGTGCACAGGCAGAAGCAGAGGGCGCAGCAGAGGCAGCAACAGTGGTGGTGACCCCAGTAGCATCGGCAGCATTGGTGGGTGCAACAACCTCAAGAACACCTCGAGATGCAGAAGCGATGGCAGCAGAACGGGAGACGGCCACAGCAGCAGCAGCACCTGGGGAAAGAGGAGGGTCAGCAGAGCTTGCCACGGCAGCAGGCGGGGCAGGCAGCGCCGCAGGCGAGGGGCAGGCGGGGGGAAAGCGGCGGAAGGTGGGGGGCGGGGGTGGGGGGCGCGTGTGCATGTCAGCGGAAGCAGCGGCGGCACTGGAGGAGTACCGGGAGAAGGCAGCACAGCGGCAGCGGCGAGGCACTGCCATGGACGCCCAGAGCGTGGCTGCGAGGCGGAGGAGAGCCACCATCAGCAACAGAATGGGCGTGCTCAAGGTGAGAGCAAGGCTGCGAGTGCTACCCATTGCGTGCGTGTGTGCATGTGTGCATGTGTTGGGAGAGCAGAGCAGGTGTGGATTTGTCGATTTTGTCCCAACCAGCCAGCGAGCTCCCACCACGTCACCACTCTCCTGGTTTGCACCCTGAGCTTCAGAAACCTCAACCCTGCCTACTGCTCACACCTTACATGCCTTCCCTAACCCCTCTCTCCCATACCCTCTCTCCTCTCTTCCGCCCTCTCTCCCAATGTGTCCCACCAGTCACTGGTGCCGGGCAGTGCACGGCTGGACACGGCATCACTGCTGGAGCGAGCAGCAGCCTACATCGCCTTCCTGCATGACCACTCCCTCGCTGCGGGCGCCGGGCACGCCGACATGCTGCAAGCACGCTTCACTGATGGGCTGGGTGGGACGGATGAGGGTGTGGAGGGCGGTGGCAGTGACGGCTGTGCTGATGCTGCTGCTGCTGCTGCTGCTGCTGCTGCTGCTGGGGATGGTGGTGCTGGGGGTGGGGGTGGAGACAGGGGTGCCAGCGAGGATGATGTGGAGTGCATGGACATCTGATCTGACACCCCACTGCGATGACACATGGCAAGGAAGGTGTGCAGTGCATCAAACGCACATGGGGGTGTGTGCAATGCCATGTACTAGTAGTACAACTTCACCAGGTAGGAAGTTCATGTGCTGCTGCTGCTGGTGTGTACACATACCAGTAGTAACAGAACCCAAAGAGCCTCAATAGCCATCGTCCTCTCTGGGTGGATATGGTATGGTGCAATCTAGGTGGATATGGTATGGTGCAATCTAGGTGGATATGGTATGGTGCAATCTGGGTGGATATGGTATGGTGCAATCTGGGTGGATATGGTATGGTGCAATCTGGGTGGATATGGTATGGTGCAATCTGGGTGGATATGGTATGGTGCAATCTAGGTTTGCTCGGGACATTGTGTCTTTATCACCATTTATCAACCCTAAACTCCTGTACCCATACCATTATTAATTACAATTAGCGCTTTCACTCCACCCACGCCAAGCTTGGATACACTGCTTACAAGAAGGCAGCAAACGTAGGGGTAGGCCGCGGGAGGAGAGAAACCGGTGGTGGCAGAGCCCCACCATCATGAGCAGCCCTCCCAGCAGCACAACTGCTGCCGCCAGCACTGAGATGGCTTTTTAGCCGACTCAACAGTCATTTGGGCAGCGAGCGTAGTGGCAGGCCGCGGTGGGAGAAGAGAAACCGGCGGCGGCGGTGGCCCACCATCATGAGCAGCCCGCCCAGCAGCACCACCGCCACCACTGCCGCTGCCAGCGCTGCACTGCTGCCCATGCCCACCGCCCACATCACCTCATCGCTGCTCAATACCCCCCCTGCTGCCGCTGCTGCAGCTGCCTGCTGCCGAGAAGGCAGCACCAGAGACGGATCATCTGCCCCCCCCGCCCTGCCTCCCTGCCCTCCCCCCTTTGTCACTCCCTGCTTTTTCGTGGCGCCTCCTCTCTTGCTGCCCCAGTGCCAGGGTAGCCAGGCGAGCCCCGAGGGTTGGGGGGGCGGGGGGGACAAGGAGCGGGTTTGGAAGATTGAGGGGGCGTGGAGGGACGGGGGCGAGGAGGGGCGGAGAAGAAGGTGCAGCAGCGTGGGGCGGCCTGCAAGCACGGTGACGTTGGTGGTGTGATTGATGTGCCCTGGGTGTGATATGGTCACTGGGAAGTAGAGGTGGGCAGGCAGGGAAGCAAGGGGGGAAGGGCAGCGGCAGGGGAGTGGGAGATAGGGACAAGAGGGAGGCATGCAGAGACGTGCGCTCAGTGGAGTGAAGTGAAGGACAGGACGGAAGTAAAAGAGAGGGCGGGGGGGAGGAACCGAGACAAAACTCCTACGTAGCACGCATGAGAGAAGCAACATGGCATTGCTGTAACCCAAAAGAATTCCAACGTAGCACAAGAAAGTGCACTTGACGGTAGACCTGGCACTGCCATCTCCTCCTTGTTCCTGCCTCATGGTGGGCGCTCCGCTATCCATGCCCGCCCTACCCACCATGCCGGATGGTGCATGCACCCCGCTTGCATCCCCCTCATGGCCATGCACCCCGCTCATGGCCATGCACCCCGCTCTCCCCTAAGCCATGCACCCCGCTCTCCCCTAAGCCATGCACCCCGCTCTCCCCTAAGCCATGCACCCCGCTCTCCCCTAAGCCATGCACCCCGCTCTCCCCTAAGCCCCACACACCTGTCCTGTTAGCCCCACACACCTGTCCTGTTAGCCCCACACACCTGTCCAGTTAGCCCCACCCGAAACCCTCCTGCATTGGCAGCGCCCCCCCCACCTGTGTAGTTGCCCGGCGGCAGCAGGCGGTAGAAGTCCCCAAAGCGCTTTGACGCCATCACCTGGGGGCGGCAGCGGGTGGACGAGGGAAGTGTTAGTGGGTTGATGGATGGATGGATGGATGGATGGATGGATGGATGGGGGGAAGGGCATGAGTATAGGGGCATGGTAAGGGGCATGGGGAGATGGGAGCGAATTGGATAGGAGAGGGGTTAATGATTGGAGGAGCAAGGGGGGAAAAGCAGAAAGTGTCAAATGAAAGGGATCTGTATTTTGTATGGGTGTGCTGTTGGTGCGTGTGGGGAAACCATAATGCCACCCTTCCTCCGCATGCGCCCCATGCGTTTGCAAGCCCATGCACCCATGCACCCATGCACCCATGCGTGCAAGGAGGCAGGAGTGCAGGCAGAGGCAGAGCGGGTGACCTGGATGTCGATGCCCAACACAGCGATGGTGGCGGGCAGGGGCGCGGACGTGGCTGCAGACAGCACCGTGCCCTGCACCCCCATCTGCCATGTAGTGGATGGCAGCATGGTGGGAGGCAGCATGGTGGGCGGCAGCATGGTGAGAGGCATGGGAGGCTGAGATGTGCTGAAAGGCATGGCATGGGATGACATGGGATGGGATGGCATGACATGGGATGGCAACACATGGCATGGCATCACATAGCGTAGCATGACATGGCATGGTGTCAAATTGAAATCGCATGGCATAGTGGGAGTGAAGTGCTCATCAGTATTCCTGGCTGGGATGTTAAGCGTCATTGTGCATGACATGACATGGCACGGCACGGCATGGCATGGCATGCAACAGCGCAGCGTGAGGAGGGCACCTTGGCAGTGGTGGTGAGGAGGGCACCTTGGCAGTGGTGGTGAGGAGGGCGAGCAGGGCCGGTCGGTGCTCCTCCCACAGCTGAGGCAGCTGCTCGCCACGCCGGGTAGTGGCACCGGGGGCAGAGCAGAGGGAGCGCACAGGGAAGTGGCGCACAGGGAAGGGCATAGCTTAGACAGAATAAGAGGGAAGCAGGGGGAGGAAAAGGCAAGAGGAGAAGGTAGGGATGAAGAAAAGAGGGAAGGGGCAAAGAGGATGCTTTGGAAGATAACTTCCCAGCATAGGCATGGAGCATGCACGCCCGTGGTGAGAATCAGAAGAGAATACGCCTAATGCAAGAGGACACACGGGCATCGGGCATAAGGGGAGAGGGCGGGGAATGCGAGGAAGGGGGAGAGCCACTTGGCGTGTTCTGACCTTCCACGCGCACAGCACAGCATGAGGGCGTGCGGGTAAGGGGCGCACAAGGAATGGCGAGGGGCGTACAAGGAAGGGCGAGGGGCGTACAAGGAAGGGCGAGGGGCGTACAAGGAAGGGCGAGGGGCGTACAAGGAAGGGCGAGGGGCGTACAAGGAAGGGCGAGGGGCGTACAAGGAAGGGCGAGGGGCGTACAAGGAAGGGCGAGGGGCGTACAAGGAAGGGCGAGGGGCGTACAAGGAAGGGCGAGGGGCGTACAAGGAAGGGCGAGGGGCGTACAAGGAAGGGCGAGGGGCGTACAAGGAAGGGCGAGGGGCGTACAAGGAAGGGCGAGGGGCGTACAAGGAAGGGCGAGGGGCGTACAAGGAAGGGCGAGGGGCGTACAAGGAAGGGCGAGGGGCGTACAAGGAAGGGCGAGGGGCGTACAAGGAAGGGCGAGGGGCGTACAAGGAAGGGCGAGGGGCGTACAAGGAAGGGCGAGGGGCGTACAAGGAAGGGCGAGGGGCGTACAAGGAAGGGCGAGGGGCGTACAAGGAAGGGCGAGGGGCGTACAAGGAAGGGCGAGGGGCGTACAAGGAAGGGCGAGGGGCGTACAAGGAAGGGCGAGGGGCGTACAAGGAAGGGCGAGGGGCGTACAAGGAAGGGCGAGGGGCGTACAAGGAAGGGCGAGGGGCGTACAAGGAAGGGCGAGGGGCGTACAAGGAAGGGCGAGGGCCACTTGGCGATGTGCAGCTCGAGGGTGATCTCCATGCAGCGCGCGGACACGTAGTTCCAGTCCTGCATTCCCCTGTACAGCGGGTACCTGTGCGCATGGGGGGGTGCGTACACATGGACACATGGTGGGGACATGGCGGAGGCATGGCGGAGGCATGGGGGAGGCATGGGGGAGGCATGGGGGAGGCATGGGGGAGGCATAGGGGAGGCATGGGGGAGGGAGGCATGGGGTAGGTGTGGGTGGGGATGGGGGGCGATGGGGTACGCATGGGGGAGGAAAGAAGACAAGAGGTGGCACCATTCAGCAATCTTTCACAGGCCCCCACCCACGATTGCACTCAACTCCGCCCAACCACCACCGCCCTCTTCACCAACCACCACCACCCTCTTCACCAACCACCACCACCCTCTTCACCAACCACCACCACCCTCTTCACCAACCCCACCCTCTCCCTCTCCCTCTCCCTCTCCTGCCCTCTTCCTCCCCAGCCCTCTCCCCTCCCTTCTCCTCCCCCACCCCCAGCCGCTCCCCCTTGGGCGCGGTACCAGGAGGCGCCATTGGTGATGCCGCCGGGGAAGTCACGCGAGAGTGCCATGGAGGGGTGGGCAGTGGCGTAGGTGGTGGCCATCAGACGGAACGTGGCATCGTCTGGCGACGCAGCGTAGTGCGTGCTGCTCTGGTGGCGTGGGGGAGAGGGGGAGGGGGGGTTGTGGGGAAGGGGAAAGGGGGCAATGGGGGGAGTTGGAATGGGAGAGATGGGTTTATGGGATGAGGGTGAGATGGGAATTGAGCAATGTTGTGGTCGAAAGGGGGGAGGGAAGGGAGTGTGGGGGAGAAGGTAGAAGGGGGAGGCACGATAGATGGAAGCACAGGGAACGGGGAACCGGCTGCAAGATAGGATAGATGGCAGCACAAGGCGATGCATGGCAGCACAAGGCGATGCATGGCAGCACAAGGCGATGCATGGCAGCACAAGGCGATGCATGGCAGCACAAGGCGATGCATGGCAGCACAAGGCGATGCATGGCAGCACAAGGCGATGCATGGCAGCACAAGGCGATGCATGGCAGCACAAGGCGATGCATGGCAGCACAAGGCGATGCATGGCAGCACAAGGCGATGCATGGCAGCACAAGGCGATGCATGGCAGCACAAGGCGATGCATGGCAGCACAAGGCGATGCATGGCAGCACAAGGCGATGCATGGCAGCACAAGGCGATGCATGGCAGCACAAGGCGATGCATGGCAGCACAAGGCGATGCATGGCAGCACAAGGCGATGCATGGCAGCACAAGGCGATGCATGGCAGCACAAGGCGATGCATGGCAGCAGAAGGAGATGCATGGCAGCAGAGGGAGATGCATGGCAGCAGAAGGAGATGCATGGCAGCAGAGGGAGATGCATGGCAGCAGAGGGAGATGCATGGCAGCAGAAGGAGATGCATGGCAGCAGAGGGAGATGCATGGCAGCAGAGGGAGATGCATGGCAGCAGAAGGAGATGCATGGCAGCAGAGGGAGATGCATGGCAGCAGAGGGAGATGCATGGCAGCAGAAGGAGATGCATGGCAGCAGAAGGAGATGCATGGCAGCAGAAGGAGATGCATGGCAGCAGAAGGAGATGCATGGCAGCAGAAGGAGATGCATGGCAGCAGAAGGAGATGCATGGCTGCAGAAGGAGATGCATGGCTGCAGAAGGAGATGCATGGCTGCAGAAGGAGATGCATGGCAGCAGAAGGAGATGCATGGCTGCATGTGGTCGGCTTGGGAACAAGGCACAGAGCAGTACCCTCTGTCCTTAGTGCCGTCCCATGCATAGCTCGCCACCAGTGCTCCCTGGGTGAGGGACAGGGGGGAAGAGGGGAAAGGGGGAATGATGCAAGAGGGCATAACGGGGGAATGATGCAAGAGGGCATAACGGGGGAATGATGCAAGAGGGCATAACGGGGGAATGATGCAAGAGGGCATAACGGGGGAATGATGCAAGAGGGCATAACGGGGGAATGATGCAAGAGGGCATAACGGGGGAATGATGCAAGAGGGCATAACGGGGGAATGATGCAAGAGGGCATAACGGGAGATGGGAAAAGTGGAACGGCGACGAAAGAGAAGAAGTAGCAAGAGGAGTTTAATGGACACAGTGGGTCTCTTGAACGCACATTCTAGTGCTGTGCAATGCTCCTGCTGTGCAATGCTCCTGCTGTGCAATGCTCCTGCTGTGCTCCCCAGACTTCAGCTTTGGGGCAAAAATCACCCCCCTCCCTCTTTCCCACCCCACCCCCTGTCGCACTCAATCTGTGCAGACTTGCCCCTCATCCCCTCACTCATCCCTCACCCCTTAACCCCCGCTTCCCTGCCCCCTCCCCTCCCCCCTCCCCCATCCCCTCTCCCGCCTCACCCCTCACCCATTCCCCCCTCCCCCCTGAACTGAACCCTCCCTCCCCCTTCCCCTCTCCTCCTTCTCCATACCCCCCTCCCCCCTCACCCCTCCCCTTTTCCCTCACTCCCCGCCCCCCTCACCACCTCCCCCTCACCCCGTGCAGGCTAGCGGAGGCGCTGAAGTGGTGGCGCTGCGTCCACCGCATCACGGCGCGCACCTCCGCCTGCCGCCCCGCCTCCTCCGCATTCATCTCCGCGAACCACTGCCCTGGGGGGCGCCCCCACGGGAGAGAAGCGGGATAGAGAGTGGGGGGGGAAGAGGTGAGGGGCAGAGGTGAGGGGCAGAGAGAGGGGGGAGAAGTGTGGGGGAAAGAGAAAGGAGGGGGAGGGGAGACAGTGCTGCTATTGAGAATGGCAGGTATGAGGTTATGTTACAGAGGAAGCTCTAGGTCCCTGGTGTCCCTAGTGTCAAGCGTCCAAATGGCCCCTAGTGTAAGCGTCTAAATACTGCGTCCGGATGTCGGACGCTGGACCATCAAGAAAACGGGAACAGCCCGATGGAAACAAAAAGAGCGTGACACGAAACCACAATTCGCGAAAATGGGATCGAGAGAGCGAGGCATGGGGAGGGGCAGAGGCAGCGAGGCATGGGGAGGGGCGGGTGCAGCGAGGCATGGGGAGTGGTGGGTGCAGCGAGGCATGGGGAGGAGGCGCACTGACGTGGTCAGGGAAGGCGCGGTTGAGGTCGACTCGGTTGGCGTTCTCCCTGGTGTGCAGCGTGAAGCCATCGGGGTTCATTGCTGGCAGTAGGTGCAGCTCCACCCCCTCCACCACCTCCCTCGCCTGCCATTCCACCACACCGCAGCACACCACAGCACACCACAGCGGACCACAGCACACCTCAGCACACCACAGCACATTCCACCACCGCACCACATACAGCATTCCCACCACAGCACATGCCATTTCTAACCCTTCAATCCTTCCCTTCCCCCCACTACCATTCCACCGCTCTCATGCCAATACACGCCATGCCACCTGCTTCCCCACACCATCATCATGACACCATCCCCCACAGCACACACGAAAGTTGACACACAACCACGGGGTTTCAACTTGCCGTGGCTTGCAGCCAGACAACCCCCACCCATGGTCAGGATTTGGGCAGACGGGCCCACAGCACAGCAATACACACAGGCGTGCACACACACATCCTCATACAGATACATACATACATACATACATACATACATACATACATACATACATACATACATACATACATACATACATACATACATACATACATACATACATACATACATACATACATACATACATACATACATACACCCGTGCAGACAGACACGCGTACACACACACAGAGGCTTCAAAGAGTGAGCTTATATTATATTAGATATGAAAAAAGGCACTTGGCCTTCTGTACAAAGAATGGTTGGGCTGAGAAAAACAAGGGGGAAGGATGGGATGGGAATTCACCCCCAATCTGTAACTTTAAGGTGGCAGATTGGTTGAACCACATGAGTAATTTTAACTGGAGGTAGGGAAAAAATATTTACACCTAAACTACGAATGACCTTCCAGATATAAAATTAAGTATGCAACAACTACAGCCTTGCAAGACACAGACACAGACACAGACACAGACACAGAAGCAGACGCAGACGCAGACACAGACGCAGACACAGGCGCACAAGCATTAGTCTTGCAAGATGCAAATGTATCACTCAGAGACATGATCCGAGGGGGTGTGAGGGGTAGTTGGCGCACAGCCAGTCCGCCAGGTACAGCAGCAGCTGCCGCCTTTTGAGATGCCTCAAAGGGGGGGTACTGGGGGAAAGTCATGGCAGGGTGCCTTGGGGCATTGGGCACTCACGAGGGGGTGCGAGGGGCACTCACGAGGGGGTGCGAGGGGTAGTTGTTGCACAGCCAGTCCGCCAGGTACAGCAGCAGCTGCCGCCCCAACGGCTCGTCCCCATGCACACCGCCTATGTACTGCCGGGTAGGGAGGGAGGGACGGAGGGAAGGCCGGGGATGGAAGTGAGGGCCATTGGCGCACAAGGCATGAGCACAGACCGGGAGGGACGGGCCGGCCAGGGTCAGGGCAGCCTCCTTGGTGGGGCGCGTCGGGGGAACTGGCCCAAAGGAAGATTTGCTCGACTGAAACCAGAATGTCCTTTTCACATACAAAGGCACACAATGTTTGGCAGGTGAATTACGGGCAGGAACAAACAGGTTTTTGAGAAAGAATGATGCAAAATAAATATGACAAGATGAAAAGCAAGGGCACCTTGAATGTGAAGCGAGGGCGCTTTTCAGTTGGGTTCAAAGTGATGTGAAGCACCCACTGGCATGGAGCAGACACAGGGGGGGGTGATGATGGGCGTGCAGGGGTGATGATGGGCGCGCAGGGGTGATGATGGGCGCGCAGGGGTGATGATGGGCGTGCAGGGGTGATGATGGGCGCGCAGGGGTGATGATGGGCGCGCAGGGGTGATGATGGGCGCACAGGGGTAATGGCCGGCCACATATGGATGGAGCGTGGAGAAGCAAGAGGAATGCGCAGGGGTGGGTGGGGGGGGATGGGAGGATGACACAGTGCAAGAACAAAACGACGGACAGCAAGAATGGGAGAATGCGGAGATGTCTTGACTGTCTACGTCGCATGGCATGCATCAAGGCAGTCGGCCTTTCAGCCCATAGCTGGCTGACTAACTCTTCCTTGATACCACCAGCACACCAAAAGCACGTACAACACAACATGCATGCACCCACTGAGTGGGTCCCATTCCATCTAGTCCCTTCATTTCCACTCACAAACGTCACTCTCCCACCCTCCCTTCACCCCCACTCCTCCCCTTCACTTCACTCCCACTCCCACTCCCGCCTTCCACGCTCCCTACTTGCAGCTCACCAGAGGCACGCCCAGCACACTGCGGCCGATGCTGCAGGCAGAGAACGAGTTGAGCAACACGAGGATGCGACACGGGAAGGATGGACGGAGGAAAAAAATCAGGAGAGGAGAAGAGTGGAGAAGAGTGAAGCAGCAGCAAAAAAGAGTGTTCTGGGAGCGATGAGGGAAGGAACCAAGAGAGTTGAGTGCAGGCCGGGTGGCAGCAATAAGCCGCCCACATGGTGTCAGTTGTATTTAGCATTCGCCTAGACGCGTGCCATGTGGCTGCATCAACCCACGTGGCTGCATCACCCACCTGTAGAGGCGCGCCATGTGGCTGCATCACCCACCTGTAAAGGCGTGCCATGTGGCTGCATCGGTCCACATAGGCCCTGAGGAACGCCTCTAGCTCACTGTTGTCTAGATACCACCGCTGGACCTCGCCACCCCCCCCTTGCTGCTGCTGCTGCTGCTGCTGCTGTAGATTCTGTTGCTGTGGAACAGACGACCTGTGGGTTCCCAACCACAACCCGAATGGCATGAATGATGACGACACATGGATGGCTTGGTGTTCGGATGGGATGCAGTGTGTTCGGATGGGATGCAGTGTGTTCGGATGGGATGGGTTAAATGAGGAATATGGAAAGACGAGATGAGACGACTCGAGGCTTTAACAGAGAGAAGCAGCAAGGCAGGAAGCAAGGGAGAAATTGATAATATGGAGAAAAAAAGGAGGGGGGAGGGGGGAGGGGAGAGGGGGGAGAGGGGAGTGGGGAGGGGGGAGTGGGGAGGGAAGGAGCGAGGGGAGGATGGGGAAGTAAAGTGCTAGAGAGGACGGAGGGAGAGATAGAGGAAGGGAAAAGTCTGCAGGTGTGGAGAGAGGCAGGGAGAGCAAGGAGAAGCGTTGCACGACAATGAAAGGGGCGGGGGCGTCTGGAGGCGAGGTGCAGAGGAAGCACCGACCATGGGAGGGGGGTGATGGTGGCAGCTCCGTTAAGAGGCGTCTGCTGCATCCCTGCAGGGGTGGGCCATCCACAGGGCAGAAGGGGACAGACGAAGACGGAGATATAGACTTAGCGAGGCAGGGCTGACGGACGGAGGACGGAGACGTGGCATTGAGTCGAGCCGACTGACGGCCGCCATTTGTCCCCTCGCCTCGCAGTGACTACGCCTCGCTACCTCGCCGGCCTTACCTGTCCCTGCTGCGCCGTGCTGCTGAGCATGCACGCATTCCCAGCGGCCCCGCGCCGCCAGCAGCAGCACGCCCAACAACAGACGCAGCGCGCGATGAAATCGACTCCCGTGCGCCACACTTGCGGAGGGTACTTGCAGCGGCGGGAAAATCAACCCCATGATCGCTATCCGCGCAGATGAACGTGCGGCTGCTGGTCGCGGGGAGATCAAGCGCGTGAGCGCCAGAGAGGCGTCGCTTGCGCAACTGGCATTGCGCAGCCCTGGACGACCGCCGGTGCGCCAACACACCAGCCGCAGCACCGCCACCTGTGGCCCTCCACGGTGACACTGCGATCGCGGCAGCTCAAATGCGGCAGCGCGATGGCTATTCGACCAGCAGCACACTGGCTAGCCCGATGATTATGTGACGAGTGCGACGAGCTGTGATAGTCGACTCGACCTGACAAGCAGGCTTACCACTCCTATGATCGGAACACCTAATCTGAAACTCAGCAGCTGCTTGGAACCCGTTCTTGGCTTCTCGCCGACTACTGTAAAAGCCGTGACTTTCGGGAGGCCAGAGCCTCGTCGAGCAATAGGACAGTGGTGCAGGTGGTAAGCGAGGCGAGGCGACAGTCTAAAATATGACAATGGCTGGTGCGGCTCGTGTCGTGTCACAACACAACAACCACAAGGGTCGAACCTACCACTGGAGTATGCGCTTGAGTACGACACAGTAGAGGTCATGCACGCACATAAATTTGATACCTAAAGAGCGTGTAAATTAGCTGGGTTTAGGAAACGAAGTAGGATTGTATACGGTCTCATTACAAACTCGATACTCTGATTATGGATTCGCCATTTTTAAGAAAATATATACATTTGCAAGTATTTTTAACTTTGGAGTTCAGCTGGACACATTTCGCATGCGCGAAAAACGAAAGCGTTAAAAAGTGGGTTGGAACATGAAACAGCTCGACACGAGGTGGTGGAACCACTCCAGATTGGGAAGACAAACGTTCGGAGAAAGCTATGCGACAGGATGCGAAGGCCCGCTCGTGCGCGATCTATTGCATGCGGTGACGAGAGGTTTTCCTATTAAGAGGACGTGCCTCCCCACCTTCCTAGCTGAAACGGGACCCAGCGGGGAGGGGTTTGCTGGTAGCAACATAAGCCGAGATGACGTCGAGAGGAAGCATTATGTGTATCATATTCTAAAGGGGAAGCTAGTGTCAAAGTTTATATTTCATGTTCCTTAGTTCAGCCTGTAGTGAGTTGCCCCTTAGGGGGTACAACACTTATCTCGACATATCTCTTGTACCCCTCCATTGACCTAGTCCATAACTCATGCCTTAGATTCTAACATGGTTTCAGAGATTTAGGTCCTTAGGACTGTTAGAACGTTTTTTTCCGGGCCCACCGTTAAAATTTACTCTACCCTACACGATCGCGCTGCCCCACGAGTGCCCTGCTGCCCCACGCTCCCGTTGCCCCGCGCGCTGCCTTACGCGCTGTCTTACAGCCCGCGCGCGCCCCGCTGCCCAGAGCCCGCGGGTGCCCCGCTGCCCTGCGCCTGCGCATGCCCCACTGCCCAGCGCTTAGGCGCGCCCCACTGCCCAGCGCCAGAGCGTGCCCTGCTGCCCCGTGCCCGCGCGTGCCTTGCTGCCCAGCACCAGCGCGAGCCCTGCTGCCCAGCGCCAGCCCGTGTCCCGCTGCCCAGCGCTTACGCGCGCCCCGCTGCCCTGTGCCTGCGCGCGCCCTGCTGCCCTGTGCCAGCGCGTGCCCCGCTGCCCCGTGCCCGTGCGTGCCCTGCTGCCCCGCACCCGAGCGCCCCTGTCCTGCCCTGCTTGCGCTGCCCGTGCCTGCCCTGCCCGTGAGCTCGTGCTGCTGCTGCAGTTCCCGCCCGCACGCTGCCCTGCACCGTGCCCTGCTAGCGCTGCCCGTGCCTGCCCTGCTGCGCACTCGTGCTGCTGCTGCAGCTGCCGCCCGCACGCTGCCCTGCACCATGCCCTGCCTGCGCACTCGTACTGCTGCTGCAGCTGCCGCCCGCACGCTGACCTGCACCATGCCCTGCCCGCGCAATCGTACTGCTGCTGCAGCTGCCGCCCGCACGCTGACCTGCTCCCTGCCCTGCTTGCGCTACTGCGCTGCTGCTGCTGCCTGCATCACCCTTACTGAGCCCCTGCCTGCGTCCACCGGCCCTGCCCTGCCCACACGAGCACCTGCCCTACCTACACGCGCTGCCCGTGCGCACCTGCCCTGTCCCGCATCTCCTGCCCGCACCCTGCCCTGCCAGTGCTGTCAGCGCACCCCTGCCCTGCCCCGCGAGCGACCCGCACTAGAGCGCCCAGTTACTCGCGCGCTTCCCTAGCTGCTCTTGCGCTGCTGCTACTGGCTGCCACTGACTGCCACTGACTGCCATGGCCACTAAGCCTGTCCTACGTCAGCGGCAGCCGAGTGTGCAGGAGTCTCTCTCGCCACAGCAGCTTCGCGAGTGGGACATCTGGTGGGGCAGCTCTTGTGGCGGAGCTAGCCATGCTAGAGCTAGAGGTGCTAGTGCTCGCGGTGCTCGTACTCGTCGGCAGGAGACGCTCTCGTTGCAGCAGCTTCGCGAGTGGGCTGTCCGGTGGGGCAGCCCCGATGGCGGAGCCTGTGGTGCAACTACAGGAGGTACCTGTGAGTCTACTCCTACTGGTAGTGCCGTTGGTGGACGTGGAGGTTCTGGGAGTGGACAGCAGCGGCAGCAGCGTCCGCCGGAGACACTCTCGCCGCAGCAGCTTTGTGAGTGGGCTGTCCGGTGGGGCAGCCCCGGTGGCGGAGCTTGGGGTACTAGTGCTGGGAGTGGAGAGGCACCTGGTGGTGTAGAGGCTACTAGTCTAGGTGCTTGTGACTCAGCTAGCATAGGTGCAGAGTCTGAGGAGGCCTTGCACACTTACCTACTCGACTCAGGCGCGTCTCGCTGCATCTTCCGCGACTGCACCACAGTCACACCGCTCACATCCCCTGTCCCTGTCACTCTGGCCGACCCCTCTGGTGGCCCAGTTGTTGCACGTAGCTCCACTGTTCTCCCGTGTCCCAGAGCCCCCTCTGGTTCCCTCACATGTTTCCACCTCCCCTCGTTTGCAAGGAACTTGGTGGCTACAGCTGTCCTACAGTAGTAGTTTGTCACTGTTACCCAGCCTGGGGGAGAGCTCGTGGCGATCTGTATGGACTCACGCACTGGCGAGCACCTCGCCACGTTCACTCGAAGGCCCAGGTCTGGTCTGTACACACTGGCCACGGATTCTGCACATGTAACTGAGTCACGTCAGGTAGCTGCGTCGGTTGAGGTAGCTGCGTCTTATTCGTGTCATCTCCTCATGCACCAGACTCTCCTCTGGCACCACCGTCTTGGTCACCCCTCCTGTTAATATGAGAGTGGTAGCCATGGCTAGAAAGATGGTAGAATCGATTAACTAGAAAGAGTGTCGAGATGAATTTTGAAGGAGAATGAGGAAAACCTAATTGAACCTAAGGTGTGTTCAGTTTGGACTGAGAACTACAAAATGAACCTAAAAGCGTTACTCGCTCTAAGCATGGCGGAATAAGGAAGAAACACCAAAATATAAACCAGATCGAGATCTAGCCTACTCCAACACACCCCCAAGCTAGGTGAAGCTCTGGAACAAAACACCTAGCGAACTGGCACACCCCCAGAAGTGGCGAGACGCATGAGCCCAAGCTCGCGCACGTAGAAACGGTGGGGCGTACGCGGGAGGGCCTTGGTGAAAATGCCAGCAAGGTTGGCAGTAGCGGCCACCTTGCGAAGACGTAAGAAGCCAGACTGCACCAGCTCGTGCACGAAGAAGTAGCGGACCTCTATGTGTTTGCTGCGGGCGTGATAGACAGGATTTTCAGTGAGATGAATCATGCTCGCACTGTCATAGGAAAGCGTCACAAACCGCTAAGAATGACCAAGCTCAGCAAGAAGAAAGGAGAGCCAGAGAGCCTCTTGAGCTGCCAATGTGCCTGTGTACAACTTCGCAGGTGGAAAGGCAGACAGAGGATGAGCGAGTGGAGCGCCTGCTGATGAGACCACTGCCAAGAGTAAAACCATAACCCTGAGAGGAGCGGCGATCAGGGTGAGAATCAGCGTAGGAGGAATCACTGTAACTGGAAAGAACGGGGGGAGAAGAGCCACCAAGCGTGAGTGCAAGATCACAGGTAGTGCGGAGATAGCGGAGAACGCGCTAGGCAGCCGCCCAGTGCACGTCAGTGTGGCGACCAAGGCCAACAAAACGAGAGAGGACACTGAGGGGGTAAGCAAGATCGGGGCGAGTGCACATCATAGCATAGATGAGTGACCCAACTAGTTCAGGATAGGGGCGCAATTCAGAGGAGGGAGCGGGAACAGCAGGGGCCGTAAGCTGATGGTTAGCGGGAAGAGGAGTGGAAACTGGCTTAGACTGCAACATTTCAAAGCGCTCAAGGATGGAGTGGATATAGAAGGATCGAGAGAGAGAGAGAGAGAGAGAGAGAGAGAGAGAGAGAGAGAGAGAGAGAGAGAGAGAGAGAGAGAGAGAGAGAGAGAGAGAGAGAGATGGTGCGCGCAGAGCGATCGCGACGAATCTCCATGCCGAGGTAGTGGCAAAGCTCGCCAAGATCCTTGCACAGGAGACGCACCCCAAGGGCCTGCTTGACAGCAGCAAGGTTGGCAGAATCTTCGGCGAGGAGCACCAAGTCATCAACGTAGGCAAGAATGTAAAGCCTGTGGGGGGAAGTGGGAATGAAGAGACTGGGGTCGGAAGAGGATGTGGAGAAGCCAAGAGAGTGAAGAGTGGAGGCGAGCTTAGCATGCCACTCGCGTGGGGCTTGCTTAAGACCATACACTGGGCGCTTCAGCTCCCAGACAGTGCCTGGAGGGAAGGGGCGAGGAAAGCCAGCGGGGCGCTCAAGAAAAATGCGTTCATGAAGCTCGCCCTGGAGAAATGCATTGGAGACATCCATAGAGTGAATCTCCCAATCCCAACGGGCGCCTAGATCAAGAAGGAGGCGAAGAGTGGGGAGACGGGCAGTGGGGGAGTAAGTGGCAAAGTAGTCAATGCCTTCACGTTGGGTGAAGCCTTTGGCGCAGTAACGGGCTTTGAAGACAGGGAGCTCCCCTGGCAGTGTTTGACACGAAAGACCCATTTGCCCTTGACAATGGTGGCACCAGGAGGGGGGACAGAGTTAACGTAAGATTGAGTTCTGGTGAATGCCTCACACTCGGCAATGATGGCAGCCATCCACTCAGTTGCATGAAAGCCAGACTTTGTGTCGGAATAGGATTGAGGGGTGGGAATAGCGGCAGTGTCAATGGAGAGAAGAGTGGGAGAATTGGAGAAGTCACCAATGGTGACACAGAGGAGGGGTGAAACGAGATGAACAGAGAAGAGCTCTTCAAAACGATCCTCGAGAAGACCGACGTTCTGAGAGGGAGAGAGACGAGTAAAAAGAGCAGAGTGTTGAAAATTGGACATTGCACGGGTCATGGAGCGGGTGAGACGTGGAGAAGGTGGGGGAACAGGAGCAAAAGGAGGGGTAGGAGAAGGAGATGGTGAAGGAGAGGGCATGGGAGCAGAGGAGGAAGAGGCTGGAGGAGAGGTGCTGGAGATGACAGCAGAGGGGGGGGTGGAGGGGGTAGGGAGGGGAGGTGGAGCAAGGGCAGGAGGAAGGGGAGGAGGAGAGGGAGCAGCAGACCAATGGAGAGAGGGAGCAGGAAGGGTGGGAGGGGGAGTGAGGAATGGAGATCGAGTCTCATCAAAGATAACATCTTGGCTGCGAATGAGCTGCTGAGAGGAGGGACCATAGAAAAGATAGTCAGGACAGTCAGTGTTGATGCCAATGAAGGCACAGAGCTGCATCTTGGGAGCGATTTTCCCACCGTGACGTGCTTGATCAGCGGGATTGCTGAGGATATGAGCAACACAACCCCACGCCCGAAGAGGGCAGGCAGAGGGTTGGCGGTCAGTCCAGAGCTGGAAGGGTGTAATGGAAGGGCGAAGGGGATGAGGGCGAAGGTTGGAAAGAAGAGTAGCATGAATAAGAGCGTAGCTCCAAAGAGAGTGTGGAGCAGAGGCATGAGTAAGGAGACAGCGGGTGATCTCCATGATAGTGCGAATACGACGCTCGGCAACACCATTCTGTTCGGGAGAATGCGGAAGAGTGGAGGTTTGGCGAATGCCATGAGAGAAGCAGTAAGAAGAGAGAGAGTGGTTAAAGAACTCGCCACCACCATAGAGTGCACCTGCGGGGAAGAACGCTCGCACACCCAGGCGTTGGAGAGCAAGGAGGGATAGGAGGTTGTGACGGCAAGAGGGAACATAAAGGCCACTAACAGCGCCAGAGGGAGAGGCAGGACAAGGAAGAGAGGAAGTGCCAGTGCAGACCAGGGTCATGGTCTCCCCTGCCCCATCAATAGAGAGGGGACGAGGAAAATTGCGAAGGATACCGGCATCACGAAAGACAGAGTCAGTAGCAGCACTGTCAAGGACAAAATCCAAGGTGCGAGGAAGTGAGAGAGCAGCAGCCGTAGGGCTGGGAGAGTGAGAGGCAGTGCTTTGAAGGGGTGGAGAAAGTGGAACAACAAAACAAGGGTCCATTAGAGGAGAAGCACCAAGGATGCTATCCTCAGATGGCATGGTCACATTGAAAGCAGAGGCCAGAGAACCAATACCAGAGGTGACAGTGGCAGGAGCGTGCTGGGCAGAAGGGCGGCAACGCTGATGTGACGGCAGAGGTCCAGCGGCAAGTAGGAGAGGTGGTGCAAGGGGAGGAAGGTGCAGCGGAGGATGTGGAGGGTGAAGAAGGCAAGGGTAGGAGAGGAGGGATGGTGGAAAGAGGGTGAGGGCGTAAGCGTAGAGGAAGTGAGGAAAGAGCAAGATTAGGCGCCATGAGGGGGAGGGGATAGTAATGGAGTAGAGATGGGGATACAAAAGAGGCAGAGGAATAGGGGAAAGTGCGGAGATTCACTCTACAATGGTAGTGAGCTAGACTACGGGGTTGGCACGAACTACTAGGAGTGATCGTAGCTTTGCCTAGTTCCTTGG